TCTGCTAGAGGCAGAGTATAATTCACAATCCTCCATACAATATCAACAGTGCAATCCTTTGCATGGATACTCAGAAGTAAGTCCTACTAAGTTCACTGACTCCCAAGTAAGTGCATATAGGGCTGCAGCGTGTATGGTTAAGATGTCAAAGACGCTTGTTGCCCCTTAAAGACTAACACATTCATTTTTTATGGACCACAGTGCATTACATCAGATGCAGGGGGCTTCCTGCCCATGAACCTCTTGCCATAGGAAAATGTGCTAGCATCCAAGATACCACAACTCTGTGCAGCTTATGGATAACTCAGCTGACCTGTCCCACTCAAGGTGGTCCCAGTGTGTTTCCTGGGTCACACTAGCAAGCATTAATTCCTCTTACGCTAGCAGTTGTCCCAACTGGAATATTGCTAGCATTACACAGGACGTGGAGATTATGGGGTGTTCTGCAGTACAACTAATACAGCTATTACTTTCATACTAAGACAAGGCTTGATTTTTATTGACATCAGATATTAGATTTCATACAGCAGCACACAAGATTGCAAATGCTCAAAGTCCTTGACTCTGATGGGACGATGCGCTGGAGAATAGAAAACGTTTATCAGTACAACCGTCTCACACTGTGCTTGAGGGCTGACTTCCAAGAGGAAAACTACATCTATGGAGTTCCCATTTACCTCTCAATCTCCCCAATGTGATCAAACTGGAAATATTTATGAAGTGCACTATAATAACCCAGGCAAGCATTAAAATCCCAATAAGCAATCTGGCAGCCTGCTGCAGTAATTCTCTAAGGAGAATGCGCTTGCGGGGATTTAATGACATTTTAATGCAAACCCTGCAAATAGGAGATTTCCTTCCCAGCTTGGTTCCCTTTAGTCTTTGCACTATTTATTCTGGAATAGGCTCTGGCAGGGACAGAGTCAAAAAAAATGGGGCTGAGGGAAGGAGAAAGAAGAGGAGTGTGGATGCTGAAACATATTTTGGGCCCCCAACATGTCTCTGACTCATAAATCACACTCTTTCTGCTGCCAGGTTTTGCACACAGAGGCAAGCCCACACATATAATGGATATTCTTAGATGTAGGGTTTTTAAAAAGAGAGAATAGCACAAGGAACCAAGGGATGATTTCTCCACTCAGAATCTCCAATGTACCTGGGATGCAATATTGGAACTAAATGATTTAAGAGTGGTGGATCTGGTTCATGACTGACCATTCCACTTTAAAAAATGCATTTATTTACTGTTTGTTATTATTATATCTATACCCCACCTTTTTTCTTGAAAAGAACTCAAGGAAGTTTACATAACTCTCCTCTTCTTATCCAGCCTGAGACAGGTTGGATGGAGAGTCTGTGATTGGCCCAAAGCTGGCCACTGAGCTCCATGGCTGACTGAGACCAGAACCTGGATCTCCTCAGACCCAGTTCCACACTATTAAGCGCTACACTACACTGGCTCTCATCATTATTCCATTTATATCCTACTCTTCTGCCTTTTGCCAGAATGGCTTGCAAGAGTTCTCTTGCATGATTGTCCCCTTACAACAACCCTGTGAAGTAGGACTGGCTATGATTCAGTGCCTGACTCAAAGTCACCCTATGGGTTTCATGACCAAAGGGGAATAGTATCTGCTGAGCTCCAAATCAATACTCTAATTATTGCTGACAAGGTGATGCTAGGAGTTGCATTCCAATATACCTGAGGGGCACCAGCTTAGAGAAGACCACGCTAACACATCAGAAAGATTGCTACTCCTATTCTCACAAGGGTTTTCTCTTAAAACCCCACATCCATGGGTGCAGTGAACAGAAAACAGAGAAGAGAATGGAAGAAGGCAAAGCTGGCTGGTTCAAATGCGGAACAGCAGCATACCATGCTGCAACATTTTGTTGCTGCTGTCAAGGACTTGGGCCCTTGTGTGTGGGACGCCTGTTGCACAGATGCTGAATGAGGTGAGCCTGTGGTCTTGTTCAGCAGGGAGCTTCTTATGTCTTCAGTGGTTCATCTTTAACTATTTGAGAAGCAATAGGTTACAGTTTATTTTCCTAAAAAACAAACCAACAAAAATGCATGGTATATATGCAGTTAGCATTGAACTTCCAGTGTTGGATGGAGGCCTGGGAGATCTTGGTTCAATCCCTACTCAACCCTGAAACTCACTGGGTGTCTTTGGGGCAGCTACTGATAGCCTAACCCACCTCATAGGGCTGTTGTAAGAATAAAATGGAAAGGATACTCAAGCAAACTGCCTTGTGTTTCCTGCAAGAGGAAGAAGGTAGGATATAAATGTAGTAATAAACAACAGGTTCATAAATATAGAAATAAAATGTTATACCACCACAGCACTTCCAAGAAAACCTAGGAACAGGGATGAGTAGTCAGCAGCCTTCCAGGAACTAGAACCGTGGTAGCCCACCAACCAGAGGCAGGTGTAAAACGGAGACTCAGACTTGCAGACATGCACTAAAAAAATAAGGCCCATGATGCTTCTGAACACATGCTTAGCCTAGGAATCTACAACTGGTTCCAGAATCAAATTCACGTCACACAAAAATCTGCTCTTGATTCAGACTTTCAAACATTATTTTTCATCCACCTAATTTATGAAGGCAGGGTATCGCTTTAGTTGCTGCTGTCCCTTGAAAACTGAGAGTCCAAAACCCTTGCCTAAACACTGCACAGAAAGGCATACAGATATATTGGTATTTCCTGATCCACCTTCCTCCTGTCCCTGATCTAGAATGCACCTTTTGTGGAAGACAGGGGAAGTAAGGTGGCGCGCTGCCTCTCTGAGCAGGCTGCTGTGGCAATAAGAACAAAGAATGTTGTGCCAGCATCTTAAGGATACAACTGATGAAATATAATAGTCCACAAAAGCTTATGCCACAATAAATTTGTTAGACTTTAAGGTGTCACAGAACTCTGTGTTGTTCTCTGGCTTTTAAAGGCAACTTCAAAGGATGAGTTCTACAATGCTGTTAGGCCCATGCAACAAACTGAAAAAATGCTTATGCTAGACAATCATGTGAAAAGCAGTTCCTTTCTCCCCACATCCCACTGGTCAAATGCATATGTAGCCAAATTTGTGTGCACTTATTAATATGGCTCCGTCAACAGCACATTCGTGTCAGCCCTCCAAATATGGTGGGAACTCCAATCATCGCCAGCCAGCATTTAGAAGGCAGCAGGCTGGACAGAAGGCTGGTTGCAGTGTGGCACAGAGAACCCCCATCCTCACCTGCAAAATAATTCAAATAACTTGCCAGCAGGAAGTTTACTGGGTGACCTTAGCCCAGATAGGATCTTTCAGCCAGAATCCCCTCCCCCAGCCCCATAATCTTCAGTTTATTTTGATTATTTATTGGTTTATTTCCCGCCTTTCTTCCATTGTGGAATTCACGGTGGCTACATACAGTTCACAAGTGGTCTTCCCTCTGAACACAGATATGGTTGAGCTTGGTCATCACAAATCCTTGAGGTTATTAACACTGGCCTACCTAACAGGCTTGTTGTACAGAATACCAAAAATGCATATGAAATATTCTGAGATCCTACATTTGTTTCTTCAGCAGTTCAATCTCACTCAGAGCAATGGGCCTTTCCTTCCAGGAATCGGTGCTGCAGCCTTAGACAAAGCCTATGAAGAAAGCACGCTACACAGGAGCCCTTCCAAAGAGGACCATTGTCGCGCTCGGACGGGCCCGCACGGGAGCACTAGCCTTCCTGCACTTTGTTCCATTTCTATTCCAGAAGCGCCGACAAGGAGCAGCTCCTCAAGATGCCAGCCCAACCCGATCACCCGATACCCGGGATCAGGCCATGTTCCATCAACCCACGAAGAGATCGATCACGAACTTCTCCCAGCACAGCGCACGTCAGTAAGCGGCTAACACGGATCTGAGGCCCGGCGGTGCTCGAGCTGTAAGGCATGAGGGCTGGCAAGCAGCAAGAGCGGACCCCAAGTAATGCACCCGAGTGCAAACACGCTACAAGCGTGCAAACCTTCTGGGTGTAACACGCATGCGGCGACACCGTGGAGTGCGGAGGGGGAGAAATTCCGCCCCTCCTCCCAGCTGCACGCCGAGGTTTCCCTGGTGCTTTTAAGGAACATGCTGTACCAGGAAGGTTTGCATCGCCAGCTTGCGGGCGGACAGGTTTCTTCCAGTCACGACCGAATATTTTGAGATCATCCGAGAGAAAAGGGCTCCGCGCGAGTTTCGCTCCAGAGGGCAAGCGCGCGTTTATTGCGTTTAAACAGGGCTGGTTCATCTTAAACCAGGATCCGAGTGCAGCCTTTAGAAAAGGGGAAGGCCACGTTCACACGATCACTGCTTTCCTAAACTGAAACATTCAGACCGTTGATCGGTTTTGCTTTTTTTCAACCGACCAAATGCAGGAAAATTGAAGAAAGATTGCGGTGTCCACCGTTAATCTAACTTAAGTTGCCATCATTCCAATAGATTTACTCTAACTAAGACTGACAATGGCTACCACCAAAGACAACAACAGCCACCCACGGATAGTAATGGAAGGGGCCGCAATAAGGTGGCAGGGAGAGAGAAAGCGGGAGCAAGCAGTGAGTAAAGGTAGAAAGAGGGCATGCATTGCCACGAACAAGGAACGCGAGAGAGACCTAGCGCCTTCCCTCCCGGTTACAAGGCTGCAGCGGCCATCCTTCACCTGGGATTAAGCTGCAATGACCTCCGTGGGACTGACTTCCAAGGAATCGCGCTTTTAAGTTTGCGGTTGCAAGACTGCAGTGCTTAGCTGGGGGTAATGCCACATAGAAATCAGTAGGGCTTGCTCCCGATTAAGCGAGCCCATCCAGGACCCAACCTGCAAGCATCAAGCGAGAATAGCTTTGAGTAAATGGGCGAAGACGACTCGCTCGGCTCTGCTGCCACAGGAAAAACGACGCGTTTTCCCTCCTTTCTGCCAACGGCGCTGCAAGGGGCGGCGGGGGGGGGGGAATTGGGAAAGAGAGGAGAGCTCTCACCTTCTTGCTTTCGGACGCTGTGGATAGCCGGGATCCCCCGGTCAGGGAGGAAGTGCGCCCCTGCCCAATGTGGTCCTGCTGTGGAGACATCGCTTCCATCAAGCTCCACTTTTTTTCCCGCTGTTTAAACAGCCCGAAGTAAGCCCAGGGTCATCACAGGCTTTTGCCCAATCCAGGGCGAAAGGCGGCGGCGCCTTCGGTGACTCCACTGACAGCTCTCATGGAGAATTAAGGGTTGCAGCAGCGCGGAACAGGAGCATGCAAAAGGCTGCGCGGCTGCTTCTGCAGCAGCCGCCCCTGCAGCATCTCCCAGAGCCTACCGCGAGTTCAGATGCAGCTCGCTCTGCAAGGAGCGATGCGAGTGCGACAGAACGCAGCATCCTTAGCCACGCCTCCACCCCCTAGCGCTAAAGCTTCTCCGCCAAGCTCCGCCCACCGACGGCCTCCGTCCCCACGGAGCCGAGCCGGTCAAGCCAGAGCGTGGCCTCAGAGCCCCGCCTCTTTTTCTGGGCCGCACTGCTAGATCCGCCCCCAAGTAGATTGCAGAATTCCGAGATTAGGCACGCTTTGGAGGGCCTTCGAGTTGAGTTTTGCACTGGAAATGAAATAAATCATATTATTCTATAACTTCAACTATTTTTAAATATATTTTACATGAAATGCAAGGTACGATTATGTGCTTACTTAAATTGGATCAGTTGAGAACAGGTAACCAGATGTTAGTTTAAATTCAACATGTGTCTCTTTGGGATTGAGAAGAGAAAGAAAAGGAAGAAAACACAAGCTGTCAGTTGTATTAACAATTACTGATTTTAATTACTGGAGTTGCGCAGAAGCATTTTGCCAGCATTTATCATGACCTAATATTTCATACTGGCTATCAATATCAGCATCAACCAATATGAAAAGAGAATAAGATAAATGTTAGCAAATTGTATCTATAAACGCCCTAAGAATAATATCCCTATTCATAAAAAATACTGTTAGGACACAATTCTATGCAAGTTTAGTTAAAAAGAAAACACTGACTAAGGAATATTGGGAGCAGTATGACATTTTTCTATCCAGACACGCATAGGATTTTGACCTGAATAAAACATGTTTGTGGTTAAGTCTGGGAAATTCTTATTTGGGGAACTATTTGATTTTTATACTGGATTTTATCCTAATTTCATGGTTTAAATTGTGAACTAGCAAGAGAGCTTTGGCTATTGGGTAGTGTAGAAGACAAGCTTCTAAGGGCACAAGAGAAAGAGCTTGTTAGAAAGCTGGCAACACTGCTTGGTTAGGTTAATTAGAGGATGGGAGATAGATGCCTAGCTGAGATCAGTGGACCATACTTCCCAATAAGAGAAGCTCCAGAGAATTCAGTGCAGCATCACAGTTACACTGTTGTGCTGGACCCAAGAGACCCGAGTTCTAATCCCCACTTGACCATAAAGCTCATCACCAGTCAGTGAATTCTCAACCTAACTCACAGGGTTGTTGTGAATATTAAATGGAGAGGAGGAAGGGGACTATGCAAATTGGCCACAGGATTGGGCTCCAAGAAGGAACTAATGGGGTAGAGCAGGTATGGCCGTTCTTTGCAAACCAAAGAACAAAGAGGGAAGTTTGGGAGAGGCGTGTGGTTTTTGCTGGATCTTGCCAAGAGGTATGAGGCATTCAAGTGCACACTTTGCCCAGTGCTAATTCACCGTCAGTGTGAAGCACCTTTGGAACTGAAGTCAGCTTCCCATGAAATCCCCAATTACTGTTTGTGTGTTGGTTCAGCGCCATCAGTGCATGCATTTTACTACAGCCCTTGCCAACGTAGCTCACTCCAGGTGTGTTGGACTGCATTCCCTATCATCCCCAGCCAGCCATTGCCCTCCCCATGAGGGCTGGTCCTTTGGTGTAGTGGGAATTGTAGGATACATCTGCAGGATGCCCAGTCAGCAAAGCTTGCTTTACAAAGGACACGACAGGGCTGGCCCCATTCGTTTTGCCACTTGAGGTGATGGCAAGATGGAAGCAAACTACACTGAAAGCCGACTCTTATTTCATAGAAACAAAGAAACAGAGTGAGTCAGAAGAGGCCTCCCGGGCAATCTAGTCTGACCCCTAGCCTAGCCAGCTCTGCTCACGACATGCCCACCATGTGCATGTCCAGCCTGTCCTTGAACTATTTCAGTGCTGCCAGCATCCTGCACCTCTCCGGAGGGCAGCAGGCTAACTTCGGGAGTGCAGGGAAGACCAGGTGATACCTACAGTTCTGTCTCCTAACCCCTTGCCCTTCGTCATTGTCTACTACCTGAGATGGCTCCCTCACCACCCAGTGGTAGGGCTGGCCCTGGTACAACAGGACTGGTTCCTGCCCCAAGGCGCTTGCAAGCCGAAATTCAGCGTGAAGGCAAACAGAAGTGGTTGGAAAGGGAACTGGAGGCAGTGGTACAAGGTGAAAATAATAAACGGTTGTATTAGCAGCACTGGCCTCAGTTTCTTTATTTCACTAAGCAAGGGGAAAATATTACAACCCGGAATAATGCATTTCTCTGAAAGTCTTTTGACTGAGTCATCAAGCATGCAAGGCAAAACAAAGAAGTTGTTATACTAGCAAAGTGAGAAATTAATTGGAAAAGCAAATTAAGGCTACTTTCACAAGTGATTAATCAAATTTACAAAAAGAACGAAGCGTGTATGTCTGGCACTTTAATTCAAATAAGGTACCTACCTTGATTGGAATGCACCTTTAATTTAAAATGACATTCCTCCTTTTTTTAATTGTCCCACAACAGTCCTACAAATAGAATGGCCCACAGAAATGTTGCATGAAGACGGGTTTGGTGTTGTCTCTTCTGTAAGATTCTGTGAAAATGCAGAGCTAAGGGACATCCGTTATGCTCTACGAGACTGTGATGTTGTTGGGGCAGCGGGGGATGACCCTTTAAAATAAGAAACATCTGCAACTCTGTGTGGGAGATTGGGAAGAGGAATGTGGCCAGAAATCTTGACTTTATATTCATGTCTGCTAGTGTGGCTCTCTCTGCTCATGCAACAAACACATGATACACTTGAGAGAATGTCAGTTCTCATTTTAAGTCATTTATAGCTGGTATGCATTCTAGAGTGCAAGCAACTGTAAGATTGGTGTTGTATTCCCATCTCTCTCACATATTCGCACTCCTTTGGGCATGCAAAGAGCAGGATCCTGTATATGCAAAATGGGGCTTGCAATAGGTAGAGGGATGGGATGCCATCTATACCTGTGTCACATATGCAGGGGTGGCCACATGTGGCCTCTCCCAGATGTTTAGGTCTGCAATCCTGATCAGTCCAGAGGAAAGTGACCAACTAGGGAGAGGTTTAGGTCGCTACAAATCTAGATGGCATTAATCATATGCTTGTCATTCCCTATTCAACATTGTTTTGGGGTTTAGACAATACAATGACCCTCCAGTTTCATTTCTCTAACAAGCATTTTTGGTGGGCTTCTTTTTTAGCCCTGGGAAAATGTGTCATTTAATTGTGAAAGAAACTGTTATTTTGATATACTCTATTTCACTATAACACAGTGCTACCTAGAGGTTATATAGTGGGAAAACAAATGTTCTTGTGTAGTGCTCAGATATCAATTCTGCAACATAACCAAAATGCAGACAGCTGATTAACAACCAGTTAACATCCTAGTATGGAGAAGTTCTAAACATGCATATAATTCACATATTAAGAGAAATAAGCACAAAAATGCACACTTTCTTGTCAACTCTTTGAAAAAAGTTTAAAACTGATTCAGAAGCAGAATGAAACAAACTGAGGATTAGAAAAAAGAGAAAATGAGGAAAGCTGAAATTGACAGGTTTGTGCTTTCCAGTTACAGCTGGGATGAAAAATGTTTTCTTCCCAGCTTTTGTCCATTTTTGGATGACATAGGTTTATTAATGCTAGTGCTACTACTAAAGATCTTCTTCAAAGCACTGTATGGGAGCTGAGAATCAATCAAAGCAATTATACTAAGATACATGTGATCTTCCAAGGTTTCTTGTTTGGACCAACTTCTCTTGCTGAATAATCACACAAACATCTAAGATCAGATACAGATTCTAAAAACTTTAATACTTTAGGAGCCCATTTTCATCCTGCGGCCGAATCCATGACTGGCTCTTAAATATTTGATGCTTGCTGATTGTCTGTAAATTTGAAAAATATATATTGTGATTTGGATAGGAGCTTGTGAGTCATCAGACAGGATGAAATGGAAAATATTTATAGCACGAAGTTTTGTATATAAGAGACAGTTTAAGTTTGCTTTTGTAAAACAAATAATTTTAGTCATTTCAGGGAAAGAGCTGCTCACTCACAAGGGATAGTATCCCACCACTGGCAAAACAAAAAGCCAGTGCATTTGAAAGCACCCCTGAAACCTTGCAGGGGTGCTCTAGTCTTGAATGGGACTGATCTGCAAGCACTGCCGATCGGCCTCATTCCAGAAACTAGTATCTTGGCCCACTTCCAGTTGCTTCGGGTAGCTTCCCATTGCACTAGTTGTGGGGCCCTCTGGCACGCATCAATGGTGGATACTGCTCAAAGTATTTTGACCTTTCAACACACAGAAAACCTTCTGTTGACCAAGGGGAGTTATAAATGCTTACCATCCTAAGAATGCCACGATAGGTTGTATTTAACAAAAGGCCCTTAGCACATCTCTTCAATATACTATGCAAATTTTGTTCTAGGTTCCTAATGAAGAAGTTCAGAGTTATCGCATATATAGCATTTTCACCAATTTAATAGCATTTCTCTGTATGTGCTAGCTGTACGAAATTCAGTATGCATATAAAGTTCCCTACAATAGCAGTATCTTCTCAAAAACTACCTCTGTTGACATTCTGCCTATTTTGGACCAGTTAAATGACCAACGGTCCTACCAGAAACAAAGCTGCCAACTGGTTGCTTGTTTGTGAACAATGCTCCGTGAATGACAAGCTGTTTCTGCACATAAATCGTCTTCCTATGTGAAACCATTCAAGAAGTTCAGGACAGTTAGAAAAGACTGTTGTCGCCAGGACATCTAATACGTTGTATGAAGTGAGTACATGACATGCTGTGAGAGTCACATGTCAGTCCTTTGTATTCCGAGCTGTTTGTTATCAGA